AAAAAAAAACTGGGAATAGATCCCTAAACCCTAAACTCTAAACCCTAATCCGGGTTGGTAGGTACCTCCCCGCCTAGGCTTAGGTTTGCTGCTTGCTTCCTTGATGAGACACGGGGTTCTAGGCTTAAACCCAGATTCCTAAACCTTCGGGCTTCTACAGAAGCATTTGCTGGGGATGTTCTCGTCCTCCTTGTCCCTGTCCTCAAACCCAGTAGGAGATCAGGGTTTGGGGTTTTGGGTTGTGTTTAGGGTTGAGGGTGACTCAGCAGGGGCAGGGGCACAAGATCTTGAGTCTGTTCTTCAGCAGAAGCTTCGTGAACTCGAAGTTCTCGTACTGCAACACCTGCACCAGCCTCGCAAACAGGCAGAAGAGTGCATTTGGTCTAGAGGCTTAGCGGGTTAGATGTGGCAGGTGTGAAGGTTTAGGGTTGAGAGTGGGGAATGGAGGAGCGGATCTCCCTGAACTCTAAGCCCTACACCCCACTAACAACCGGCAAAGGTTAAGGTAGGGGTTTGCGGGAATTGGGGCGTTCAGAGTTTCGAGTATCTTTCTGACAATCCTTCGGGAAGGAAGAAATGGATTGCAAGGACTCCATTACAAAGCCTAGGGTCTACGGAACAGGTCTCGAAAGCCCTACACCTTATTTCAGGGATTCAGCATGAAACTGCTTGCTCACGATTGCCGATTGTCGGCGTCTTTTGGGGCCCGTTTTGCCGGCTCCATGTTAGTTTCGGGAGTACACCCTGTAAACCCTAAATCATCGGCATCCCTGTGTACCCCCATACACCCCCCCGCTTCATCCCTATCAAGCCTCTTTAAAGGACTTACATGTTGGTTTGGGGGGTGTATCCGTGAAACCCGTCGGAGCACTGGTCCATGCTCCTCGCAACAACTTACTTGGGGCTTGGTCCTTTTCAAGGATGGACCACTGAACTACACTTCCTTACAGGGAGATCCAAACCAAAAAGGGAACCTGCCTTGTGGCCATTTATTTCTTTGGATTGGGGGTTTAAAGTTTACTGTTTAGAGTTTAGGATTCGGCAACACCAAGACCCCGGCCCCACAGCAGCCAAAACCTAAGCTGATTCCGACACCGCGACTATTCCAGCCGCCTAAACAAGTGATTACCAATATTGTGGTCTTAGAGTCATACAATTAATGACGCTATAGGGTACTTAAAATACACCCTAAAATGATCCAGAGCCCTGAAGCCCCAACCTCAAGCCCAAAGCTCACACCAATTTACGTGCTGCATGACTTAGTATATCACTCTAAATAAGCTCAACCCTACAGAAACCCGTGTGACCCATATTACCCTCCCAACCTATCAAGTGGGTCACTCCCCCACGCAAGAATGGGTACCGTCAGGGGCCGTTGTAGGTATACCAAGGCCCTTATCACTCCATTTCTGAGGGCTGTTACTATATGGGGAACCCTAAACCCTGGACCCCCTAAAACCCCAAACCAACCCTAAACCCTCAACCCTTCGATACAGGGGAATTTAACTGATCCATGAAACCCTCCCTACACTACTTTGAAAGCCGAATCCCCCACAAACCAAGCTCTAAACCCTCAATCCTACTAATCCTACACCCTAAACCCTAAAGCCCTAGACTCCTAAATCCTGAAATCCTAACCCTGAATCCTAAAATCCTACACCCTAATTCCTAAAATCCAGGATTTTAACCCTAGATCCCAACAAAACCCTGAACCCTAAGGCCTAAAATCCTAAACCCTCAACCGCAAGGCCTGTTCTCACATTGCTGCAGGTCTTTGATCGGAAGGATCGACAGGATCTCCTTCTCCGTGGCGATACACTTGTTGGGATCCTGCGCGCAATGTATCAGATGGCGATCCTTTCGGTGGAGCGTTACTGAAGGCTGTTGCGATAAGTTCCGTGAACGCCTAATGATTCTAGGTCACTGTTGCAAATGTGCAAAATGCGCCGCTACTAAAACCCGATTTGAGAAGCTGCTGCCTATCTCCTTGTAAGCTTGATTCTTCATCCGAGTACTTCCTGATGATGCTACAGATTGGCGATAAGTAGGCCTGAAGGGACCCTAGGAAAGGGTTAGGAATCTGTAAGGGTCATCTTGAGAGACTCCCACTGCCAACACATCTTACTTGCATACCACAATACAATTGCTGCCAAACCTGTCCATGATAATGGGGGCCTGGAGACAAGGCCCTAGGTCCCTGCTGCACGCACGCTTCTTCGTCATCACGGCTGCGCTGTTGGAAGGCTACCCTTACAGCCTACATCTCATGAAGCCCCACAGTCTGGAAAGGAGACCAGACACAGTGAAACGTGGTACTCCCTTCCGCTTGTCATGTCATCGCTGCGGGCATTTAATTCGTGTACTGTCCAGGAATTGCTCCACGTTGCTTCTGTTGTGATTCTTCACTGTTTACCCAAATAGTGAATCTAAACCCTAGACCGTAAACCCTAAACCCAGAACTTGGCTGGGAGCATGGGCTAATTGTTGAACCCTAACCGCTCAAGTAACCCGGACCCTAAACCGGGAGGGGAGCAAGCAAGGTCCGCATGAGGACAAACACATCGCTTGAAAGCGCGCGCGTGTCTCATGTACCCATTCAGACAAAATCAGAACTCCTTGGAGCAGCTATTTTCTCCAAAAGCTTGAAGAGAGGACCTGATAACACGTTCCACTGGAAAAATGCGATGCCAACCCCTTGTTCTTGTCTTGTCCTGTAACTCCTGCCAAAATAACTGCTCTCTTGAGTTGGCTCCCTTGGCCAAGCATCACGGCAGCTTCACGAGGCATCGCTGAATACACTCAAACAAGCTGCGCGGTTGAACCCCGACGGTAAATGTCTCAAACGACTGTCGTGAAGAGAAACACCTGTTGCACCTCGAAGATCACATGATCTGTTTAAAGCCGTATCAACCTTACACAAGACTCAAAGACCAGCACCGAGTTTGAGACACTGCCTTATGCTCTCAGCGAAAAAAGAAGGATGTGCCCGCACGTGCCGGCTGGCGAACTGGCGGAAGAGCTGGTCTGCCCCAAGATTGACGGCAGTACCTCCAGGGTTCTCAACTTAAAGCGGGGTTAGTAGGGAATGAAGGAGTATATTCAATGGGGGTTATGTAAGGATTAGATTCCCTTATGGGAATATAATATATGGGGATTATACAAGGATTATAGTGCCCTATTCCCTTCTAAGAACTAGTGAGTCTATGGTGCAGTCAAAGGGCTCAAGGCCCTAGGACCTTTGCTGGCTACGAGTCCGACGAGAGTCTCGCAAAATGGAGGCTCCAAGGATATATGGGGATTGTGCGTTAGCATATAGAAGCTGCCATTTTCCTCTGCAAACACTGGACTCTGGGAGTCCCATTAGCAACTCTTCTTGGTAGTAGAAGGCTTTGGTAACCCCGCCTCCCAAATAAACTCCCTAGAACCATCTTTCTAGGGATGAGGGCTGCCAGATGTCTTGTGTGTAAGGGACCATATTTAGCAACCATGGAACACCCTTTGTAAAGCCGGATTCTTCCGTTGGTAGCTAAAGTAGACCCCTGATTAATTAACCCCCTTATGATAGGGATCCAAATGCTAATGCCCCTAAAAGGAGGGGGCTTATGAATCCCTAGATCCTAAACCCTACATAAACCCTACAGGGGTCCTAATATCAAGGCCCTTAAAAGGAGGGGGTTTATGAATCAGGGGTCTACATTAAAGTGTTGACATCAGCTCCTACCCTACCGACCTGGGGCAACACAAGAACTACATAGGAGTTAAAGGGTTTGGGGGTTTAGGCTTGAGGCGTTTAGGGGTTTAGGGTTTAGGGGTTTAGGGTTTGGGGTTTAGGGGATTAGGGGATTAGGGTTTCGGGGTTAGAGTTTAGGGGTTTTGGGATTTAGGGTTTAAGGCACATTGAAAGATGCCTCACACATGGAAAACAGGGTTATGGCACAGGTCTACGGCTATCAGGATGGTAGAAGGGCCACATGCAACTACCGGAAATGTACAGAGCAAACTTACCCTAAAGCCCAGACCCCTGAACCCCTAAATCCCTACAACCGCAAACCCTACGGCAGTAAGTCATCAGCTGTTGGAAGCTTTTCCGTGCCTATCCAAAGCGGTCCTGTAATCGCATGGCAAGTGAAAAGCATTTCTGTTGAGCAACTTTCAGATGGGAGTTACCACGCGGGTACGCTGAATTCGGGCGTACGTTTAGCTGATATGGGGGTAGGCAGTATATAAGAGGTATGTGAAGCCCACATAGCGGAAGCTACGCATGTGTAACTTCCGGAGGTACCAGGTACACTGGAATTGTCTAGTCTACCCGCGTACCCAACACCAGAGCCCTACATGTCTCAAAGGGAGATGAGGAGGAGGCTTCATTTCAAATGTTTTTCAAGGACATACTGGTTGTAAGTAAGGCCTACAGTAGCCTCTAGACTCTAGAATGGTATAGTAGCTGTCATGTTCTTTTCCAGTCCCTCGTACCCTACAAGAAAAAACAGCAACGGGACAGCGGATCCCACAAGCTTCCATAATTAGTCTCCGCACTACCCAGAATCAGAACGCAGCAGATACCTATGCAATCCCTAAACCCTAAACACCTAAACCCTAAACATGGTGCCTCCCACAGATGTGGTGAGAAAACCAGTTCTGGATTGCCGGCTCGCCGCCGTCGGTGGCCCCGAACTCCCGCTTCTTGGAGAGCACAACTGGATCGGTCAGCAGGTAGTAGCCTAGTTCAATATACTGTTTCGGGCTAGTAGGGAATAATGGAATATATGATATAGGGATTATGTAGGGATTTGATTCCTGTATTTCCTACGAAGCACCAATAAGTTCAAGCGTTGAAGAAACCAAGTTCTCATGGAAACTTTGATGGAAAACAAATGAAAATCCGCAGCATGGTTAAAAGAAAGGTGTCAAGCAATAGCGTTGGACGATCCCGGTTGTTCATGTAACATTGATTGTGCCAAGAGCCTAGTGAAGTCGTAAAGCTTTGTGTCAAACATGTCTCAGCAACCATCTCTGAAGGAACCCTGAAGGTCACAGAGCAAGTACTCCCCTTCGGATGCGTGCCAGGAGTAATGGCTCAGAGCCTGCATCAAGTCGTGACTTGCATCGGCCCATCCGGTGTTGCTGTTGAACTTCTCATAGCGGCCGTGGATGAAAGGTTCGACCAGCCCTTGCTTCTTTGAAACTTGCTGCACCCAGACCTCTGGTTTGTTAAGGTGCACCATGGGGACAGCACAATCTAGCCGGCAGTTGCGGCGGTTGAAGCGTTCGATGAGCTCCGCTGCCTTCTTGCAAGCATGGATGTCCTCGTCGAAGAAGCGATCTTCAAACACCTCAGCTGTTTGTTCGGCACATGGTCCTGCTGAGCTTTGGACGACACACAGCTCTGAATGGTTTTTCGAAGACACGAATCCTTATGAAATCTGGGGCTGCTACAAGACCTGAAACTTCAATGAAAGCCATCCAGGCATTTCTCGCCAGCTGGCTCTATTATTGCAAGCTACAGGTGTAACAACACAAAAGGGACCCAACCCTCTTTTCAATGCTGAATGGGACAGCTGTCTGAATGTCAGCTATGAATGCTTTGATGCAAGGTTCCGTTCATTATGGGGATGCTCAATCCACTGGCCAAAAAGGGCATCCCTCATACAGGAACTCATCTTGGATGGGGGAAGACAAGCTCCAGCCGTTCCAAGCACTGAGTGAGAACCCTCTAAGGTTCGCGGAACTTGGTGACCAGCATGCAGCTATGATAACAGCACACTCGAAAAATTCGAATGCAGTACACACGGCAAACTGGGGCCTCTAAAGATACCCCCCTCTACCCAATCAACCCCAATTCGCTAATCTGCCAAATCCCTCCGGTGTACCCCCTGGCCTGTAAGCCTAAACTTGAAGCTGCAGACCCCGCAAGCACGAAAACCTTGAGATCCGCAGCCATTTTCTAGCAATTCAGAATCAAGGAACTGGGCCAAACTTGGGACCATTTTGTATATCAAACACCCTTAGGGATGGGTTCAATTGAGGCCAGTATTTCTTAGCAGGCAAAACACAGAGCCGGTCTTGAACACCTTCCAGACCTGCGCTTCTCCTTTCCGCGGGCCCTTGGTGTACACGCCCTTGTAAACCAGCCGATGCTCGCCTCAACAACTCAGAGATTTAGGCCTCTGCGGTGTAGGGTTTAGGGTCTAGGGTAGGGTAGGACTCCCCTAAACCCTAGACCCTAATCCCTAAAGGTTTGACGTAAGATTGAGGATGTGGGGTTGAGGGCTTTGGATTCAGGGCCTTTACTGGTCCGCTGTCACGCTAAGAAGCTACACTGCACCGTCTACGGAAGGGCAGCATGGGAAGGTCTAAAGCAAGAGTTTGCGTATACTTCCGCATCAGGGACATAGCCTTTCCTCTGGTTAGCTAGGAATGAAGGAATGCATCCTGGATGTAGTCCCTATATAATCCATTACAGTAATTTCCATGTTTGTTTCCACTCCTTCATTCCCAGCTAACTTCCGCATCAAGGCCATAGCTTCTGCATAGAAGAGAATTCTATCTAGAAGCATCCCACGCATCCCTTTATAGACCAAAGGAGTTGATGAAGCATTGATTAGTAGCATCCTCTCAGCTTTTCAAAAGGTCCAGGGTTTAGCGTTTAGGGCTAAAGGTTAACGGTTTACGGGCTTATTAGCTAACCTTTCCCCCCGTACTGTCATCCTCATTACAAGTTCTCCCACGCAGGGAACCTCAATTTTGGAAGCCTGAAAACCCAAACTACCCCATATATATATATATATATGAACCTGAGATATGGTGATACAGCCCCTCTTTCCCCTCCCTAGACCCTAAACCTTAAACCCTAAACCCTAAACCTTAAACCCTAAACCCTAAACCCTAGACCGCGTGCAAGCCCTACTCTTTGGACGCGGACGACTTCCACGGGAACTTAAGCATGCCGAGTCTACCGCGGAGATCAGGAAGCCTTCCTCTGGGTTGCTGTTAAGGCACTTAAATTAAGTTACTATATTGGGGAAACCCTATTATTTACTATGTATACCCATTACGGTAACTTAATTTAAGTTCCTTAACAGCAACCCAGTCCTTTGCATGGAACTCCAGAAAACACCCCTGAGCAAGAATGGTAGTCCTTTGGAGGAGCCCCCACCCTGTAATAGTAGTATAATAAGAAAATAAGAGGACCCCAATATAATCCCTATTATCCCTCATAGTCACCATTACTAGGTGGGGGGTCCACCTAAGGTAGTCCAGGTAACAAATTTTGGAGGGGTCCACGCTACGTAGTCCATTTCCTGAAGAAAAAGTGGCAGAAGGAAACCAACAGTCTGAAAGGTCTCCAACGCTGACGACATACTTGTGCTTCAGGGGAGCGGAGCAGCAAAAACGAATACCATTATAGGGCTATAAACGGAGATTGCACGAAGAATTTTGCGGTTCACTCGACAACTCGCTCTTATGCATAAATAAGGTGGGCTGTGAGACCCTCATGCGCATGCAGGCCAACTTGCGCAAGTAGCTTCTCCAAGTGCCCCTCTTTAATCCAGATTGCGGACCCCACATACACAAAACCCCCAAGTGTCCCTGGGCCCCTTCGACCCCTGAATAGTCGCAAGCAGATCTAGAAGAGCACGCCTTGAGCCAAGTACTCATCTCCTTCGCACCTTGATCCATGGCGCCATTCCCAGCCCTTGTCGTTCCTGTTCCTTGGCAATATACAATGCCGCCATGAAATAATATTTTTTGCAGGTCGTATTGCGCCTGCAGGCTGACATTTCCATGACCACATCCGATTCTTCGACCATCTTGGCAAAAACGTTTACCAGAAGAACGCACGAAAATGTCACCACACAACTATCAAACCCACACAAGTAGTCTCCAACGCATAAACCTGGTTAGGAGAAAACTGCGTAGCCCAGGCTCAGGGGCTCCTTCAAGCGGTCCAGGAGTTCACACTTCACCCCAGCAACCTTACGCCCGACTTTCTTGCACTCGGATCTCAGCTCCTGCCCAACACATTTCCAGGATGAATGTTGGAGCAAAAACAAACGGGAGTTTCCCAAAATAAGGGGTACCATTTTGGGGGTCCCTATAATAAGCAATAACGACTATCGTATTTTGGGGTCGATATTGGGGTCCCCCCATTGAGGGAAACTACCCAATACCAATGGCATAATACTACCAGGAATCTAGAACGATCATATTAGTAATTATTTAGACGCCACAGTCCTGTAAAAGACTTCGCGACTCAAGCTTGCGGAATTAGGGCTAAGGTTCTACTGCTGGCGAGCTTGTTACGTGTTGCCTATATTCTTCAATATGGGTCCTGTATACCCCCCCATTATACAAAACAGAGACCCTACTTGGAAACACAACCAATATTTTGGAAGATGCGCTCCAGGAATAGGAGACATGAGCTTTTGGAGGAATCCAAGAAGTGGGGGACCCCCTTTTATACCCCCAGCATACTGGACATCTTAGTGGTGGGGACTCCCACGCGGATCAATATTTTTTGGAAACTCCATTTCTGAAAATGCAGGTTTGATTCAAAGCCTTCCAAGAAAATCCAGAGGTACGCAGCACTCCGGCTTAAGCTTGTTTTAGGGTTTAGGGTTTAGGGTTCCACGGTAGGCCCCAAAGCTTGAAACTTAACCATAAGACCTAAGCAAAGGCTCCTCACAGGTCATGTCGTTCAATCGCTTCCTGGGTTAAAAAGGCAACACAGTAGCGAGCATGAAGCAGGGGTGCTAAGATTCGGAGCTCTGTGGTCCGCTTGAAGAATTGAAGACGATCATCTTGACTTGTTATGTTTACATACACTCACAATTAGGTTCAATGTAACACGGTGCAGACACCACCGCGGGATATGATGTGTTGGCTTCAAAGTCTATGAGCACGGGATCTCATCACATGTTTGGGGTGGGATGTCGATGTTCTAGATCTCAAGCTGCAAAGCTTTCCCAACAATCGCCTAGCTTCTTCGGACTCGGCGTGACGATCATCTTCGCGAAGGTGGTGGTGATGGTACCGTAGCAGCTAGCTTCCAGGCGTCTAAGAACCAAATGGCTACATCCGCTCACTCACGGGGTTTAGGGTTTTAGGGTGTAATCCCCAGACATACCTGGTGCCCGATTACAACTGGTTTTTTTGTATGGTGGTTGATGTCCAAGTGTGGTCAGAGCGTCAGCCCAGAAGATATAGAGACTATACAAAAGCTACATATGAGGATGTGCATACAGAATTATACAGGACCAAGGGCTTGTGCAGATGATAGTAGGAGTCTTGCAGTTTACAGACAGCATTTCAGCAGGAACGTAAGAGCGCCAACTCTCGGTGGGGCTTGGAACGTGGAGCGCGGCTGCGCATGGGAAAGCATGTCCGCAAAAAAATACGCAGATCATAATGTGACTCTGCTTCTTGCAATGATCGGCACCACCTCAGCCAACTGTAGTAGACCCTAAAAAAAAGAAAATCCTAAACCCTAAACCCGCAATGGCCGCAGCACATCCTGCAAAAGTCCCTACAATTCTCTCTAAAGCCTCGGCAAGAAGCGCAAAGAAAACCCACACCCCAAATAACTTACTGGTGGTTAGTAGGGAATAAGAGAACATGATCCCCATAGAATCCCCATATAATATATCATGTACTCCCTGGGTATCCATATTGAACCCCAGCAAGATAAACCCGGACCTGGAAGATCTTACCCAACTCTCGCTGCAGCCTGGCTGGCTTCTCAAAGAGGGAGTCTCGCTGATTTTCGGGGGGGTGCGGGTCCGTGAAATGAGGCTTGTTATATTTTGGGGTCCCTGTTTTGGGAAAGCAAATTCTGCTCATACAGCTCATGATCTGTTCCTGTTTACGGTTTGGGGTTTAGGGTTTGGGGTTTGAGCCTCGGGGCTTGGGATTGAATTAGGGATTTCAGCCGATACCCTTTCGCTGGTTTCTCAAAATTGTGAATATTTAGCTTTTAATAATCTCGTTGGGATTTTTAGACTAGCAAAACCGAAAATATTTCCAGCATGACCCATCTTGGGGTGCCTATTGCCAGGTTTGGAGTTTAGGGTTTAGATCCTACAAAAACGCCACAACCTCAAGCCTCCCTGTTTGAGTCCTAAACCCTAAACTTTAGAGTTCAGGGTCCAGGGTTCAGAGTTCGTTCCCTGCAGGTTCCCCGAAAAGACTAAGGTCGTCTTTCAAACCAACCTCAAGAAGGAACAACTCTTCGTAGGCCCGAAGCTGCCTCAGAGATATTCATCGCCTTGCCCGTCTGATCAAGACGCCTCCCGACCAGAATCCTAAATCAAAAGCCTCTATCCCAACTTCTTGGCCCTCTTACCATCTCATTAAGCAGGTAGGGCTGGCCAGTGCGCATCAATCTTCTGAATGTCGACGTTGTACTTGTCTTCCTTCTTGGCTTCCTCCTGTATTCCAGTGCTATGGATTAGGTTAGGGTTGAAGGTGTAGGTTTAGTGGATCCAAGATTAAGGCTAGCTGCTGTAAGGCAACTGCTTCCTATGCAGACCACCATTTTGGGTCGTTCCAACGTGCCCTCTGAGCTGCCAAGTCCAAAGCTCGAGATTTATTTTGGGGAAGGTCACTGCCCCTGCCACTGAGGCGGGGGTGCAGAGTTCAGGTGCCTAAGAATTACGCAAACCATTTTGAGGTCTATTTGAGGTATATGCAAGGAATCTAGGACTTTTTGGGCCCCTCATTGCAATATTGAAGGTTTTTTGAGGTTCATGGCATCAGGTTCAGAAGTTTGGGGGTTGAGGGCTGAGGAAGACGGAGGAGACTAAGAACAATAAGTTGACAAGGCTTCACGGTTTACTGTAGTCTTAGCAGCTGAACCATTGCAAAGAATATGTCATTTCTGTACCATTCCACATGTTTACCTCCAATGTCTTCTTGAATTCAGCTATTACATTAGTTAGGTGCCTAGCATTTTGGTCATAAACCGGACTTGTGACGCCAGGAGCTTCATCTGCGAGACACTCGGGACACTGAACATCATTAGGGTTTAGGGTTTAGGGGTGGAAATTAGATACTGCGACTATGATTTTGATAACAGAAATGTGAATTCCTGCTTGGGTAGTTCCTGTACTTGGAAAGTTTTGACAAACATCGGGGTACAAGAGGCAATACTCATCTGAATAACAGCTATATGCACTTGAGTAGTGTTTTTTGGTGGTTGAACCTAGCAAGATTATATTCCTTATATAAAATACTATACCCCAAAAGGAGGATATGATCTTACTCTATATCGGGTTCCATAGTATCCCCAAATAAAATCCTACTCACTTGTAGCCTGTGGTCAGTTCCGGGATTTCACTGCCACAGCCCTGCAGGCGGCAATCACAAAACACTGACCCCAAAACCTTAGTCCCGAACATGCAGCCCAAATCTTTGAACCGTAAACCCTAAACCCTAAACCCTATTTAGGGTTTAAGGTAACTCCAGTCCGGTAGAGAAAAAGGTAAGATTTGTTCCTCGAAATTGGGGCTTGAGGTACTCTTGCCTTCCACCAAGTCAGGGCCATCGCCAAGCGCCCATGTCCAGAACCCAATGCTTCACTTGGAGGTTCAGGGAGACTTAGTGACTAGATTAGTAATCGAGATAACTCGACTTAAAATATATGGGTTATAGGGGATAAAAGTATACCTACTAAGTCCTCCTGACCCTCCAACCCTAAACCCTACACCCTGAATAATATATAGTAATTTCCATTTTGCCATTATCCCTATATAACCCCAACATAACCCTATAAAACCCTGACCCTCCAGGTAGGGTATGCCTGTGGCATCCCATTAGTCCCACCCCAAAGCTTTGCCTCAAACCCTCAGGTTATCAGAAGCCTCATGGTTTCACCCGGTTTAGAGTTTAGGGCTTAGGGTTTAGGCTTGCTAAAATGCACCAGTGCTAGAAAAGGAGCAAGGGAGCTCATTTGCTTGGGCGCTCCTCCTCGTCATCCGCTTCGAGCAGCGTGGCGTGGATGCCGCGATCGTCCCTGCGAGGTTGAGCTTGCAGCTCAGGGCTTAGGGTTTAGGAATTGGATTTTAGGGTTTAGGGTAATTGGATCTTAGTGTCTATGGTTCAGGAGTTGACCCTAAACCCTCAACCCTAACCCTAAAACCCTACAAGCCTAAAACCCTAAAGCCTAAAACCCTCAACCCTACAACCCTAAAACCTTAAAAGCCTAAACCCTAAACCCTGAGAGTCGACCCTAAACCCTAATTGGGTTTGGGGTTTAGGCTGCAGGGTTCAGGGTTTGGGGTACGAGGTTTAGGAAGACTCAAGTCTTCACATGGCCTACATGAATTGGTACTATAGGGGCCTAAATAGTTACCAATATCATTTTGAGGTCCATTTGAGGTACCCTATACTATAAATATACAAGGAATATGGAACCGAAATATTGGTAATTATTTAGGCCCCTATAGTACTTCTACGCGGTTTGGGTTTCAGGCTTCAGGTTTTAGGGCTTAGGGTATGGGAGGGACTACTGCGCGGATGAAGAATCAAATGGAAAGGACATTCAACATGAAAATGGTAACTGGGTTTTGATAGGAGCAGGCAACAGGAATTATGGCAGGGGCCTTGTAATTGCCAATATCATGTTGAGGTCTATTTGAGGTGCACCATACCATGACTATGCCCCCTTAAATTGAACCCCCCTTAACATCAAATGGTTTCTCGAGACCTTTAAGAGGGGAAAAATGCAATAGGAGCCACCCAAAGATGAGTCATGGGCAGTTCTAAGGTCACTAGGAAGGCGGCCATTACAAGAAATCATAAGTAATAAGTGATCTCCTTGATTTCTTTGCCTTTTTGTTTTGGGTTCTATAAAGCAGTTGATGCTCAATATCTAGAGGGAATCTAGTTACAATTACGGATCTCCTAATTCAGGGGCACTGCAGCAACATAACTAATTGGAATTAGCCTTGAAGCAGAAAGACATATTTAGCTAAGTCTATTCTGTTGGATAATGGCTTAAGATCCGTTGGGTCTAGTCGAATTGGTTAATATGTTCCATCTATTTGAACTAGCGTACAAATTAGGAACTTCAATTGATTAGAACAGGGCCTTCTCCTACATTCGTCTTAAACGCGGTCCTATCTAGTTCTTTCAAGAAACAACCTCTCTAAGAAAGAACTTTGCAAGAGTATGAAAACTCTAGCACCATAATGTTGGTAGCTGGGATGGAAACAAGCCCCAGGTTGAGGGTTTAGAGTTTAGGGTTTTGAATTTGGGTCCAAGTTTACGAATTAGATTTTTGGATGACAACGACGCCAAGCTGCCTTGCGTGACCCCACCTCACCATCACCCTCATCCAAAAACGCCACCCGTCGACCACAAAGGCAAATGTACAAATAAGAGATTTCTCACAAATCGAATCTTTCTTCATACCCTTAAAGCTATTTAATCCTCAGTCCTGTCAACAGGGGCCAGCGACTTGACACACGACGCTAAGAAATCCAGATGCTCCAAAAGCAAACCCTAAACCCTAAACCCTAATCCCTAATCCGAGCACTAGTTTAATAAAAGGGACCATAGTTAAAGAAAAAAAATTGGAAAAATTCGCCGTCAAAGACTAATTTCAATTAGGTGGCATTTCGTATGGGGAAAAGGGACCAGATTTAAAGAAATTTTCTGGTGGACCAAACCTGAAAATCGAGATATTCAATGCATTCCTATTCATTTTTTAATTCGTAGAGGTCCAAGAGTCCGATGATGCGGGAATGCATTCCTATTCTTTTTTAATTGAGTTCCAGGAGCCCCAATCATTCTTTTAATCTGGCACCCTAAATTTCTTATTCTAGCGGGGCTAGTGGGGGGGGGACCCCCCCAAATTAAACAAGTGCTCGGATTA